TTTTCTTTTCTTCTCTCCTCGGTGGTTGTTCATGGCTTTTGCTCTGCTTATCATCAGCTCATCGCTTAGACGACTGGAAGTCTTCTGACAGTATGAAGCTAGTCGACCTGTCATTCACTTCGTTCCACGTCTTTGGTGGGTTTTCTAGCAAGTCATCTAGGAACCGACCACGCTTCAAGCCAGGCAGCAAGGTAGACAAGCAGATGGTATCGGGGACGTTATGAATGTCTAAGGTAACCTTATTGAATCGCTACATGTAGTCCCTCAGAGATTCTCCTTCTTTCTGATGAACCTGCATCAATTCAATCGTTGTACGCTTGATCTCTCTTTGGCTCGCAAATTTGTTAGAGAATAGCTTAGCAAGCTGAGAGTAGGAATCTATAAAGTGTCTGGGGAGTTTATGATACCATCTTCTGGCCATTGATTTCAGTGTCGTTAGGAACACTTTGCACATAATTGGCATTTTGGATTCTCATGATGGCCTGATAAGTGTGCAGATGCTCATCTGGGTTGCCCGAGCCATCATACGTCTCCAGGTGGGGAATTTTGAATCCCTCTTGATACGGTTCTGCTGTGATGGATACGTTTAGTGGGGAACTATCCCAATCCAGGGTCTATTGGTGCGACCTGGGTCTCTTTAGCTCGTTAATGGATTTCTATACGTCCCATAGCTGCCTTTCAAGGTCTGCATTCTTCCTCATCAGTTCTTCATTGTGTTTGGATGAGCTAGGCTCGTTATTTAACTTCCCACTTCCCCTTGGTTTGGTCGGTACTATTATATTGCTTAGAGCGGGGGAGTTTCGAGTTGCAACAACTGCAGCTGGCTGTGCATCCCTGTTCAACAAAGGAATCAGGGGGTCATCAGGGATCAGGCGGGCAAGGATTTTACCCATTGCCATTTCGCGAACTCTGGTTCTCTCTTTGAGCTCGATTGTCCGAGCAAGCTTAGTTGACCTTTCAAGTCGTTCATGTTGTGAGTTGTGTGGTTTGGGTTGTTTTTGCCTTGTTCCTGTTGGAATTTGGAATTGTTCAGGCTGAGCTGCATACCTAGTTAGTGTTCTTTCATCATCATCTGTTCCACTTAACTGATCCTATTTTGCTCCCCCTATGAAAAGGTTTCTCGGCATTGGTTTAAAATCATTAAGGCCGAGCTCAGATAGCTGAGTGTCCTCCTGTTCATCCATTTCAGTTCTCGGGGGGCGGCTTCCAATAAAGGTTCGAACCATTTTGTCTTTTAGAAAGTTAAGCTACACAACTTCTTGTTCGTTTCCTATAAACGACGCCAAATGTTTGGGAAGCTTCGCAATCCAACACTATTGAAGTCCTCAGCTGCTTCTACACCTGAAAATCCCGAAGGTGTTTCCTTGGGGAAAACACTATGACACTCAAGTCAGCAATATTCAATATTCTAAAGAGAGATGCTCTCAAAGAGTAATTGCAGAGAGAGAGACGTAGAAGAGTTAATACCTTGCATGGAGGTAGTTGGGGGGTATTTATAGTCCTAAGTGCTGACATGAGCTAAAACATGTATTTACTCGGTTGGCCCACGTGTTACTGCCCACATGGGCATGTCTCCTCATCTTGGGCCAGTGGGTGTATAATTGGGCCTGCTGCATGTGGCCCAAAGCGGGTGTTGGGCCTAATCCCAACAAGAAGCCAACAAACTTGAGAAATGTATTCAATATGAACCATCAACAATGTACATGTTTAAGCAGGGAATAAAAATATCATCTGCATAATATTTCTTTTCAAGAATAAGTCAAAACAACACTAATTGAAATGATAAACATGTTCTAATTATAAGTTCCATTAATTTCATACATATTAATATGCATCTCAGCATGCAATAAAGAGTAACGACTAAATTCAAGATTTGTTTTATGTCGAAACTAGAAACATCTATTTTACTTAAGAATAAATCACATCCACACTTTCTAATTATTACCTCTAAGGGAACTGCCATAAACTAAAAAAATATGTATTTTGCTACTTACAATCCCTCCACTCTCAACTCCACACATTCCTATAGTCAGCGTATCGTAGATACTAATATTCTATTCAAACAATAACAAACCTTAAACATTTCCCAGTCACAGCAGCACATGTATATACACAATATCCTAATCACCAACACAAGCACGTATCATTAAGTTTGCACCTCCAGAAGAACCCAGGATTTATCTAATACCCTAAATCACTCTACTTTAACAAAATTTCGTTTGAGGACAAAATCACCAAAGACTTACACCCTGATCAAACAAGATACTACTAGCTTTGAGTCAACGGAGGAGTGGAAGTATTGCTGTATTGATTACATGTACCTGCACCGACGCATAAGGTGATCTTGGCGATGGCACTAGCCCTGGCCCGTGGCGAGAAGTGTAGCGTAAGTAAGGTGTTGTACAGACTACAGAGCCGAGACTACAAGAGCAACAACCTAGAGAAGAGAAGACATAGCAAGCAAGAAACAAGCCGTTGGAGTTTCTTGTTCTTTTGGAGTTGGAGTTTGCTGGGTCTGGCGACCTGATCCAAAACTAATGGCATTGGACTTGAATTTTGAAGCCCAAAAAGAACTCCATTAGCTAAGGTTGTTGGGTAATTGTCAAAATGGGGCTTGGTTTTTTGCTAAATGTCAGAAACAGCCTTAAGTCAAAATAATATTTCACTGTTGTCCTTCTATATCTGATGGTGATAACCAAAATTTCCTCTGTTTTCTTTCTTGCTGGATGGTTGGATTAACTCCTGAGTTAGCCCCTGAGCATTTTTTGTTTTCTCAGTTCAGTTCTTAAACTTATTTTTGGTTAATTAAAACTATACATGGGCGTTATGGGGACAGTGTAAGACCGAAGTTAATGAAAAGGGAAATGTGTTTTGCATCCAAAAATATCATGTTTTATTTAATATTTTTAAAAACCAATTATTAGATTGATATATATATAAACTAATACTACATTTTATATTAAATTTAATAAATTCTAAATTTGAATTTTTTAATGTAATAATAGTTATTTTTTTTTTGAACAGCAATGTAATAATAGTTATTAAATATATAAAAAATGAAAACTTAAAAAAAAAAAAAAAAAACTTTCCTAATTGTAACCATTATTCATTCTCAGTCTGCTGTCCATAAAAAAGAAAATTATAGAAACGTTTCTGCTTTCTGGAAACACACCTCATTTGAAAGCAGCTGTTCTGTGAAGTAATTGTAATTTACAAATAAATATATGTGGAACGTCTAGACCTATGCTTATGCATGCCTATATATGATATATATATATATATATATATATATATTGAATGTTGAGGTTCGATCGGTTCAAACCCCATACCTATTAAATTTTGCATGAGACCTTTACAAAGGAGAAATGATCATTAGGCCACCAGAACATTCTCGCCTATATATGATATATATGATTTAGAATGAAGAGAAGATCTGCATCTGACTCAAGATATGCTCAAAGTTGTCATTAGACTTCTGTATAGGATGTGAATGCATGCCTTCGTAGGTCGTCACAACAACCCCTTCATCTTTAGTTAATCGTTGAACTTGCTTCTTCACATTACATCCTTGATACGTACATTTGTAGTAACTCCTGTTCAAGGGAAAAAAATATAAATTACTTTTTGTTTTTACAGTCTTGATGAGATAATCATAATTTAAAAATTAACAATTAATAATTTATATATAACTTACACTTTTGTAAGTTTTCTTTAGGAATGGCAAGAAATTCATTCTGGTTATGTACATCTCTTTACCTAAGATAAGGAAGAGTATATATATATATATATATATATATATCTGGAGAATAAGGATACAATTATACATAAGTTTAATTTATTTATTAAAAATAATTATTAATGGATACTTATTATTTAATAGTTTAAAATCAGCTTATAGACTATAAGTTGATAAAACCAACTAAACCAATACACCTTACATGCTACCAGAATCATCTACAAGGCAAATGTGACGATCATCTAGCCATATATATACCAACATGATTCATTTCTCTAAAACTCAAAAACATAAATGAAACGATCCATCATCTTCTGCTAGTTGCATCGCCTATTTAGATATGGCCCTCCAAAACTCTACGATCCTCATGCATTTCATTGAGTGAAGAGTCAATCATAATTATTAATTACTATATAAATCGTGAGAGTATTATGAAATGAGATTGTGTATGAATACAATTCCTACATATTTTGGGCATATTTCTTTATTGAGAAATCTTATTTTCTTGGACTATAACAATCAAAAAGAAATTGTTGGACTATTTAGAATCAAGCCCTCTAAAAGAATTCAGTATTTTTCTTCTTGTTATAATAATCTAATAAAGAATGGGTTTTTGAACACCAGAAGATCAGCTTTTAACATGTAGGAGTATTTTTCTTTTTTTTCTTTTTCTTTTTATCAAGAGATTTAGGATCTATTATTACTTATATATATAGTTCTTGTTATGAACATGCTTGTTGCGTACAAAGAAATTTTTTCCCAAACTTTCAACCATCACTGTAAAACAGTACTCTTACAATTCCATCAAACAATATATATCCTTCAAATCATGTAAAAAAGTTGTAGAAGGAATCAAGAAAAAAAAATATATTCATGAACGTACAGGTGTGCAAGAAAAAAAAAAAAAGAGCAAAATAGTTATCGATGTTAAAGGATTGCGCCAATTATATATACCCCTACGATTCTTGTCATGAATATCCTCTACTCAAATCAACTATTTCATGATTCATTCCCACTGTGTTAATATTTTAAAATCTTATTTTTGACTATAAATTCTTTTTAATTCCATCTTTTCAAAGGATTGCACCAATATTTTTAGCCGGTGTTCTAATATTAATTATATATTTCTTAATCGGTTCATTTATATCATCTCTGAAAATCTCAATTGATATAAATGTATCCACTGGTGACCATAAAATTTATATTAATTAGATTTCAAAAAAAGAAAAAGTGGGGGTAGGGGAAGATCTGATATATATATATATGTGCCTATATGATAATAAGAAATGCTTTACAATTCCTTACCTGGGAAATTTGTTATTCTTTACTGCCTTCTGTCCGTATTTTCTCCATCTATACCCATCATCCAGTATATCAACTTGACTTCTGGTTTGAAACGCAAATCTAGGCTTTCTAACTTTTTTCTCCCTCTTGTTCTTCTTCCCTTCTTTCTCTTCAGACCCCGTCCCGGCCGCCGCCGAGCTTTTCTCATTAACCGGAACTTGTCTATCCCTGTTCACACCAGCAGGAACTTCAATCTCAGATTTAACTCCCGTGAATTCATTTGCAGTATTGATACCTTGAAATAATTCAGCATGAGCACGAGAATTATTCACGATCGCCGAAGATGGAGGGGGGAAACTAAAAAGTGGAAAGTTTTCCATGAGGAAGAAAATTAGTGAGGTGAGAAAGACAAGGCTGCTATGTTGACTATATAAACAAAAATAGCAACCAAATTCTGAAGGATAAATGCGCCTTGGTGTGGCGGCTGGAAGAAAGATCGATGGATGGCAGCCGGTTGAATTCTTTATCCCATGTTTGGTACCGTAAACGACACGGAATTGTGCAAAAAGTGAGGTTAGTGTAAAGAAGGTGGTGGAAGGATTAGTTACTTATTATTAAACATTAAGTTTTGAAATTAATTAAGGTAATTATTTCCTCTATTATGGTATAGTATTAATCTTTTCTAATGGAGTAAGAGAAGAGAATATCTTTAGTAGTTGGCTTTGACCAAAATCGGGGTGCAACATCTGTATGTATTGTTTGAAGAATTGTTTAAAAATATATGTTTAAAATTTATAATTACAGTTTATGAAAAAATAATCTCAATTTCTTTTAACATGAGTTGAAGTACTTTTTGTATTATTAATGATTTACTCTATTGATAACTGTGTTTTTTGACTTTCTTTTTTAAATAAGAATTTAGAAATAATTTATATATTTACCTATATAACTATTAAAAAAAGTTAAAAGAAAAACTAAAAATTTTTTATAACAAGATAATTAATCAAAATATATAAATAATGATAAAGTTAAAATAAAAAAATATTTATTTATTTTTAAAAATAAATAATAATAATAAATTTAAAATAAACTCAAAATAAAAAATAATTATTATTTTAAGATATAAAAAGTAAAAAATTGAGATCGTTTAAATTATAATTAAGAAAGCGATTGAAAAGAATTAAGAAATAAAATATTTAAATATCAGGATACAACTCAAAATAAATAAATATATATATAATACTCCCTATACTCTGGGTGAGTAATAAAATGCAGTAATTATTTTGCCTTAAAAAAAAATCTTTTCCAACTTAGTTTAGGATTGGTGATAAAATTATTAATTGTTTTACCCTTGCAGAATATACTTATTAGGCTATTCTGCTGTTTTGATTTTGTTATTCTCACCTACTAGAATTATTTGTGGTGGGGCCCGATCACTTCTAGGTTGGCCACATGGCCAATTTTTGGCCGAAAATATAATGGGTCTTTTTTAAAAAAAAATATGTCCTTAAAGAATATTTTTTTATTTAATTAACCCCTCTAAAAATTTTTAACCCCTTCTAATATTTTTAAGGTTTTTTTAATTTATATCATAAATGTAATTATTATATATTTTTTATTAATTAATATTTAAAAAATATATAAAAATTATCATTAATTTTATTATCAATATCACATAAATTATTTTAATTAAAATTAATTTTTATTTTTTAATATTAATTAATACAAAAAATATATGTTATACTTATACTTTAAAACACATGTTAAAAATATCCATATTAAAATCATACTTAATTTTTTAAATGAGTTGAGCTTCAACCTAAAGGTCTTAAGCTCGAGCATGAGCTTAAATACCTAATGTCTCGCTAGCTCATCTCAAATGTTAGGTGAGATTTAATGGATGAAAGAGGTACAAAACCTGCAGCTGTTGTTAGTCCACGTTATTAGACTAGGATTAAGCAAAGAAGACGGAAAGGAATCTCCGAAAATGAAAATGAGAAAGAATAGCAGTCCACTAGTAGACAAAAAAAACATGACCAAATTTCATTTCGCATGGTACTTTAGTAGCCTTAAAAAATCCAGGTGTACTCTAATTACAAATTTTTTTTTTTTCAACCGACACAAGATTTTATATGTATATATATATACACTTAATTTTTTATTATTTGATAATCATATTAAATTTTAATTAATTTAAAATTAAATTACATTAAATTTTATATGAGAAAAGTTTTATCAGTGTTTATTTGATTATTGATAAAATTTAAATTTTAATTTTAATTTTAAAAAATTAAATTATTTTAATTCAAATCAACGTATCCTTGGTCCGCGCAAAAGATATATTGAATGAATCTGTGTTTCTTTTGAATACGTATATCGCACGTGCGTTTGAAATTTGTTAGTCAATGCGGCGGGCCGGACGCAGCCCCTTCCCCGCTCCCCCTCGTGGCCCATGGGATTCCTTAACATCAATATATGGATTTTTGTAATCTATTCCTTAAATATATATATATTAAATGTATAATTATTATATTTTTATATGAATTAATATTAAAAATAAAATATTAATATTTATTTAAATAATTAGTTAGTTAAAATAATTTAAGTAGTATTAATGGTGAAATTAATAATAATTTTTTATATTTTCTAATATTAATTAATATTTAAAAAATATAATAATTATACTTTTAATATATATCCTTAAAAGTATATATTAAAAAAATATTCAATATATTTATATGTAAGAATTTTTTTTTTCATGTTGTATTTATATGTAAAAATAACTAAAAATTATATTATTTTAATAAAATATTAAAATATTAAAATGGTCTCATTCATCTTTTCAAAATAAGTTATTTTAATTTTTTATTGAGAGTTTATTGAAATAATTTAGTTTTATAGGGTTTTTTCTTTTAATTTTTTGAATATTTGACCAGAAAATAATTTTCCCAAAATATACATTTAAAATAAGATAAATTGACCTCTTCTTTCTCCCGCCATGATTTTCCCCTCGTGCTCTTGTTTTCTTCTTCCCTCTAGTCGCTATTGCCTCTGTCTCCCTTGACAATTAAGGTGGATGATTAAAGATGGAAGTTTTTTCTTCCCTTACGAGGGTTTTTACTTTTCTGATAGAAGTTTCTCTTCTTTAAGAAAAAAAAAAATAATAATTTCTACCTTGATTTTCTCCATTTTTTTTAGTGTGATTTGCTCTTTTGTTGGAGGAGGATGATAACTTTAATGTGACATTGATTGGATTTAGATTAGTTGTTGTGCTTACTTTAGTTTTTAAATACATATTAAGGACATGGTTTCTAACTAAATTTTTCCACTTCAATTAATTTATCCTCTATATAAACAGATTATGCTAAAATGTAATTTTTAAATTTTGAGTGTAAGTCTAATTGTAATATTCATATAGATATTAAATTATTTGATTTTGTTTTTTCACACATTTTACAATTATAATATTTCTAAAGTATTACCCTATTTAAATTGACCCTATATATAACCCTTATAATTTATCAATGAAATTTTATATATTTCTCATAAAAAAATAACATAAATTGGCAGGATGATATACGCAGGCAAGAAATCCTAAGCTAAATACTACTCCTCCACAATTGCTTCCTTGTGAACGATAAAAGCAAACAATAAATCAATAACAAATTTAGAAAGGCACTTGAGAGGTGTACAAATTAATTTATTCACTACATATTTTAAATCAAATTTTAATCAATAAAATAATTATTAATTTTTAATTTAAATTAAATTTTTATCAACAAAATAGTTAGCAAGTAATTCCCTCACATTTTTGTATTCAATTTGTAAGTGAAGTGTGAACAGGCGAGGGCATTCCTACATCGTGCAAGGAAGAGAAGTCCTACATGCATTTGACCTGACTGCTTTGAATATATACATTTTTTTCAAAAGATGTTGAAAGGAAGATTTAGAATGGTTGAAGACAAAACAGTGTACAAGACTCCATTTGCTTGTGTTTATATCTCCGTTCATGATCCTGCTCTTTCATTTTGATGAACGTTCATGATCTTGCTTGATCAATCATCATGAAGGCTGCTGCATTAACATCTAAAACCTGATATACAACACAAAACTCTCACAAGGGAAACATCAATCATATGAGCTTAGATTATTTGATTTATCTCCCATCTATAGATTGTCAGTTTCTGATTTCCGGTCATAATTTGCTTGAAAATTATTCAACATTGTAAGGAGGGACCTCAAAAAGAAATAATTATCTTCTTCTTCTTCATTTTTTATTATTATTATTATTTATTTTTTTTTGTCTTTGCTTTTGGGACATACGAGGCTAAAATAACAGCACTAAGCAGTTAAGGAAAGTCCCCTATTGTGTCCCATTAAAGGATTGGCCTTATTCCTGTCGGTGGTTCTAGAAAAACAGTTGTTCCCAAAAACACCTTAGCATGTATCAAAACAACGAATGAATCTGCTACAACAGGCTAAACATAAGAAACACAGACATAAGCTTGCGAGGAAAATACAGCTAAAAGCCTTAACAATGACATGAAGTATACAAATCAAAATAATTAGCGGATTCCGATGTCATATGATCTTAATCTTCCGTTGTGTATGTTAATTAGCTCTTCGACCAATCATCTCAATCTGATTTGTGGAAAATTTTTAAAGAAAATTAAATAGACAGTAAAGACTACTAATTTTAATTTTAAGATTAGATATATTAATACAAATGATCCATTGATTTGAATTAAAAAAATTTAATTCTTTTCAAATAAAATCTTAAATTTGAATTTTATAGATGAAAAAATAAGTCCTAAAAAAATTTCTCCTTTACAAGTTTGATGCGACTTGACTCAAAATTAATTGAATTCAATATAACTTATAGATCTAAAAAATTAGTACCAAAAAATAAGTAAATTTTAAATGTTAGATCTATTAATAAAATTCAATGTTATTTTATAAGTTAAATTTAAAAATTAAGTCTTAAGTTAATCACTCGAATAAAATTAACTTGTTTATATGTATTAAATAAGTGTGAAAATACACTCTTATGGCCCGTCAAAAAAAAATCAAAATATATGAAAATCAGTTTAGAAACATTCAAACAGTAAATAAAAAATAAATATTATATTATAAATAAAATTAAATATTTGAGTGTCAAGATTATCATAAAAGAAAATATAATTTCTTTAAATATGTAAAGTAAATGTGTGTGTGGAGTGCGTTCTTTAAAGGCAGAAGGTGCAATTCAGCCCCTCTACGTCCATTGTTGTGGCACATCAGCCCCTCTACCTAAAAGTAGAGCAAATCAGCCCCTCCACTTGAAAAAACCCGCAAATCAGCCCTTCTGCTGACGATGACCTCATCAAATGTCATCTTTCCGTCCACACCCTTGTTACTCCGTTACCAAGAAATGGCTTGGTGCTGATATGGCATTGGGTAGGTGATGTGGTCAATTTAAACTGTAAAATTACTAAAAAATCCTCATTTACTTGCTTTTCTTCCATTCATCTTCTCTCTCCTCCTTTACATTCTCTCTCTTCATAT